TGGTACAGGGGCCGTATTTAGGATTGTGTATTATATGGTACAGGGGCCGTATTTAGGATTGTGTATTATATGGTACAGGGGCCGTATTTAGGATTGTGTATTATATGGTAGAGGGGCAGTATTTAGGATTGTGTATTATATGGTACGGGGGCCGTATTTAATGAATTGTGAGGTGGTTCAATCACGAATCTTTAGCTTTGAATCAGTGGTTCAGGAATTGATTCTGTCAGCACTATAGCGATAGTGATTAGTTCTGAGACTTCTCTACAATTTCTTAAATAAGGATTTTTTTATTTGTTTGATGATTTCAGTTTACTAGGGTAAACTATGGTAAACTTTAATATAAATACTAAAAATGGATTAAATACTATTGAAAAATATAAATTCTATTGATTTAAGTAAGCATATTTACTTTCATATTGATACACAGGTTAGATAATTAAGATTTTGTTAATTTAGAAAAGGATAAAAATGTATTTTTAATTTAATAATATAAGAAATCTAGGATATAAAAAGGTTAGATTTTAAAAATAAAAAAGAATAGATAAAGTAAATTTAGAATGTAAAAAGATAAGATCTGTTGATGATAGTTGGAAAATATACATTATCTTGATTAACAAATTTACATCTAAAGGAAAGCGTATTTTCAAGTGATCCTTCATGCAAGGAGGGCAATGCCTGATTTACAACGGTACTCTTGAAACCTCTGTGTTTTTTGTTGAGTACAGAGATATGCGTGTGTAAACTTATCGAAACCCGGTTGTAATCAGCTACAAATTCAAGTATGTGCTGTGTTGAGTTCACACACGTATATAGCTCTGTAATCGACGAACACACAAATGGTTTAAGGGTACCGCTGTAAATTGGGCATTATTCTCTTTGCATGGAGGGTCACTTAAAATTACACTTACTGACCCTTTAATCTTCATTGTACAAAGTTTTGCATTGATAAATATTTACCTTGATAGAACTGTATAATAGAGACACAAGTACAATCCTCCTCCCATGCAACCCAGTACAAGGGTAGCGTGGTAAACCTGTAAGTGTAAATATTTCATTGTAGGTTGCTTTGTTACTGCAATGTGAGGCTACTGGATCAAATTTAAGCGACTTATGATGGGGGGAGGGAATTTTTCTTGTCTGTTTCCTAATAAACTTATTTCTTTAAATCTTTGATATAATGTGAACCCAACCATATTCATGGATTCCCTCCAACTATAAACTTATTTCTTTCTTTGCTAAATCATAAAATAAGATATTAAAATACTGTATTCAAGGAAGACGGCTTAATTTAACCTTGGGATCGTCATATTTACAGAGTTTTAGGTAGTCTTTTCAGTCTCATCCTTTGTGGGTAACCCTGTACATTCCCGCTAAAAAAAGGGTCGAGGTGTACTCAATTTGGGATATGGGGGGCTCAGCCAGCTCCCCCCCCCTGATACTTATGGTTTCCAAACTCTGATTTTCTAATCACAGTTTTGCAACGAAAAGTCTTAGATATTTCAAACTATGAGTTCTGTTATAGATCGAATGAACTAAGTTTGAATTATCAAAGGTTTAAACCATCAGGTTACAACGATATAGGAATTAAAAAATTTGAGTTTGTGGCAAATACTCAATTTCTTTACAATACAAGTTAAGCAAGTGTAAAACACATCTAAATATACACTGCAGTTATATTAATAAACATATGATGTTTGACAACCATGTGGAAGAGAAGCGTAAACATTTTCTGACAACCAGAAGTAATTCTTTTAAAAGAGATATTTAACAAAAAGATTACGAATTAAGAAAGAAGGGGGGGGGTGGATTAAAATCTACATTGAACATAGCATCGCCTAGACTTGCATTGAAATAATTACAATTCCACATTGTAACAATAATATGATCTCTCTGTTTATTTCAGAGACGTAAATTAACTTTTAAAAAAAGGTGTAAAAATTTGAAAAAACGAATCTTGAAAATATCAATAAAGAAAATCTTAATTAAAATGAAGTTGTATATTAGGAAGTTTGATAAGCAGTATACATGTTTGCATGCGCACAAGTCAGGATTCTTGATCTGCGCATAATTGTTTAGATTCGTATTCGTTAAGATTCATTTTACAGAGGTCAACGGGGTTATCAATACATCTTTGTTGCCTGTTTATATTTTTAATTGTAGCTTTGTAGCTGTCATGTCGACTGTCAATGTTTTTGTGTCTTTAACCTGTTTAATTATATTTGCGGTTCCTCTGCAAAAATGACTGCGCATTTCTGCATATGAAAAAATGGAGAAACTCACCAATTAAAAGGTTTTGAGTCAGAAAAACAATGGTATTTTCCACATTTCAGATTAATGATTCAAGGGTACGGTTGTAAATAGCATGGAGGGTCACATGAAATTACGCTTACAGTCCGTTAAGTGGTCTTTTTGGTTGTTTAAAATCTACATTTATCTTTCAATTTATCCATAGTCAACAATATTTGTTCATAATGTTGATCATACAAATTAAACTACCATATTTCACACTTTTCGTCAACTTTTCATCCAAATCATTTCCTACAAGAATACGTAATTCTTTATCTTTCTACATCCAACCATCTATCAATATTTCTTGTTAAATTCTGTTTGAACATATAGTAGCCCCAGGCAATAGACCTTACTGGGACTATAAATTCAATTTTCTACCTTTAGATTAAACTAAGAATATACTGTTTAATTTTAATAACAATAAATAGACAACTAGTTAATAGCTAAGGTCTTATTGTCAGGGTGAATGTGTACGGTATTGTAAGATAATGTACAGGGTTACCCACAAAGGATGAGATTGTAAAGACGACCTAAAAACCTAAAAATAAGACGATCCAAAGGTTTAATTAATTCTTCNAAATAATATTCTGAATAATAAAATTTACGTTCATACACGGACCGAATTTCATAAGTTTGAACTCCCTCCCTCCCTTCAACTTAATCTTCAACTTTGAATCGGTGGTTCAAATTTGAACCGACAGTAGATAGTTCAGCGACGTATCTAAAATTGATTCTTAATGATTTCCCCAGATTTGAAATCTAGTTTCAATTGAAAAGTCAAAAATTGTTATTACATTTTTGATAAGAAGGAGGAAATCAATCAAAACAACTTTCTTTCTAAATTCAATTTTTTTTTACAAATTCCAAGATTAACTGATTTAATTTTTTGTACTGTATTTCAGAAAATTATTTCAGAAAATTAGAAAATTAGAAAAGAGAAGAAGCAAAATATCGTAATATTATTCCTTAACACTCTCCATCATCACCAGATAAAGATCTGACATCTCCTCCGCTGATTCAAGGTTCTAAAAATTTAAAATTTAAAACAAGCATGAGGATAAATTTCCAGATTAAAAACTATAAAAACTAAAAAAATAGATTTACTCTATCTCCGCATTTTTAGACGTTAATATATTTCATTTTTAGTGTCACGATCCAAGTTCATTTTCGCGAACACTCCCTTTAAGAACAAGATTTGTTTTCTTTTTTTGTTTAGTAAACGCTTTAAATTCTGCCTTCGATTTAACCTGCAGCTATGGATGTTATCTGTATTTTTTTGATTGATTATTTAAGCAGACCTCGCATAGGTCAGTAATTATTCCTCCATACAATCCACCCTATCAAGAACACCAGGAATTGGTCGCATTTAAAAAATAATTATGCCTAAACGAGCTCCTCATTCCCCAGGGTAGTAGAATAGGGTATTCTAGATATTCTAGATATATTTTATATATTCAGTATTCACGATGTTTAACAATCTGACCTTGTCAAATAAACATTAAATTACTAAATTGTTTTAACGTCTATAGTAAAACGATAAATACCTTACTACGTTAATTGTTTTAACGTCTATAGTAAAACGATAAATACCTTACTACGTTAATTGTTTTAACGTCTATAGTAAAACGATAAATACCTTACTACGACAAAGTAAAGTTAGTAGAATTTCATTTTGATATTTATGTAAAAAATATCTTAATGTGTAATGTATATTCATTCATTGCTTTTTACATTTGTCTTTTCTAATATTTTTGAGAACAAATAAAAAATCAAGAAAATTTTATAATTAACGTTTATAAAGTACTTTGATCACTATCCGTTTATATCTTTTCACTATCTAGGAAACCCAGCTTCGCCAGGAAACTTAGTTCTCCTCACAAAAAGCATTTTACCTAACTTAAAACTTTAAAAGAGCAAATAACACATTCCCAAGGTTCAACTAAGTTCCACAATTAAATTTGAGTCAAATAAGTCCAGGGGTTCCTCATTTATGATTGGACATTAATACAGGATAAAATATTTTAAACCATTATTAACATCATTATGATGTGGTTCAAAATTTGAAAATAATAATTTTGAGTACTTAAAAAAACAACGTAAACAATGCCGGACGAAATAATGATGAGTTGTAACGTCATTTGTGTTCCGGACGAAAAATTGGTCCCGTATATACCTTCCCTTCTTCGTCTAATTGAATTAAAGCTATATACCTGAGAGTGAGTTAGAACGAACCATATGATAGCAGCTACCCCAGCTAGCAGGTATAGGACAGTCAAAACCATTCCCATTATATACACTAGGGTGTCCAGCTTACAGCAAGCTCTACCAATACTCAGCTGGATACCCATTCTCATCTCAACCAAGGATCCAGTAGGACTATCCTAAACAATGTATTTTAAGTTAAGTATTTAAACTCTGTTGAAACAAATAATTTAAGTTTGAAATATTAAATTGCAAAGATAAAGATACTAGAAAATTATAATGTGTGACAAAGACTCAATTCCTTTAAAGCAATTTTTCAGAAATACAAAAATTTATAATTACTGTCAAGCAAAACTGTAAACTAACACTTCTTTCAAATTTCTATAGGATGTTATCTATAACATTTGCAGGTCACAAAAATATAACAGATAGGACAAAAGGTCTATAATCACGTTTTGGAAATAATTTTCCCTGAAATCGGAAATAGTGATTTGTAATAAAGCTTTTGGAAAAATTTAACGGAATTCGGGAAGGGAAGTTTAGGTCGCAGGGTTAGCCTCTTTCCCGTCCTTTAGCTGCTTTAGTTGCTTAGTATAAAAAAGGAGAACGAAATGTGTTTAAATTGAAATAGCCTTTAAAAACCGTAAAAAAGTAGCTCGATGTAGATAGTAATAAAGTTTCAAAGTTCCTGTGAAAAAATATCTCTATCTGTGTTTAAAATGTTTATTTTGTGATTAACATCTCTATATCTGATTGATAGCTGCCTATCTTTCTATGCATGCCTGTTTAAACAATTTTTCAAGCGTGTGTTTTTGGTCTTCCTTCTTTTGTGACTTGTGGAAATAAACAATTCCTTGCATTGAATGAAATTTCCATTCAAGCAAAAACAAATCTGGTAGGCAGTGGAACTAATACTGACTTAGTAGGCAACAAATTGAAGGGGACAGAGAGGTCAGGAAGTGCAGGGAGTTCAGGGGAGACATGGGGAGTACATAGATTTTCTTCTGAGAGAGCAGGGGCAGCACAAGGGAGTATAAGGGAAGCACAAGTTGGTATAGGGGAAGCACAAGGGAGTATAGGAGAAGCACAAGGGAGTATAGGAGAAGCACAAGGGAGTATAGGAGAAGCACAAGGGAGTACTGGGGAAGCACAAGGGAGTAGAGAGGCAGGACAAGGGAGTACAGTGCAACACAAGGAAGTACAGTACAACACAATGGAGTACAGTGCAACACAAGGGAGTACAGTGAAACACAAGGGAGTCAGCACAAGGGAGCAGAGAGGCGACACAAGGGAGTACAGGGCAACACAAGGGAGTATAGGCCGGGGCACCACAAGGGAGTACAGGGCAACAGAAGAAAGTGTATGCCAACACAAGGGAGTATATGCCAACACAAGGGAGTATATGCCACCACAAGGAAGTATAGGGACAACTCAAGGGTAAGGAAGGGTAAGGAAGGGTAAGGAAGGGTAAGGAAGGGTAAGGAAGGGCCAAGAAAGGCCGGGAAGGGTTTGGAAGGGCTGAGAAAGGCCGAGAAGGGCTGGGAAAGGCCGGGAAAGGCTGGGAAGGACTGGGAAAGGCTGGGAAGGGCTGGGAAGGGGTGGGAAGGGCTGGGAAGGACTGGGAAGGACTGGGAAGGGCTGAAGGGCTGGGAAGGACTGGGAAGGGCTGGGAAGGACTGGGAAGGACTAGGAAGGGCCAGGAATGAGCAGGAAGTTTGAAAAGTCGAAGGAAGGAAAGAAGTAGAGAAAATTAATCATAATTTAATTTAAAAATAATTAGACGATTTAAATTCTTGTGAATTATTATAATTTAATATTCAAATAATATTCTTCCCACATGCAACATACCCATGTCAATACCTACTCTTACAGCCTATTAAATTACACATAATTACTTTGATGAATCAGAATAAATAAGAATAGGCTGAAATTATCGAATAAGCATATTAAAAGGTATATTGTCAAGAGGTTAATGAAACTGATGAGTGGGTGAGAGAGATGTATAGAAGAAGGTTTGATGAATAGATGATTATGAATGCTAACAATAACTATAAAGGTTTCAGGAACCATGAACTGAGTCTAATGTTTCAGTCTCAAAATCTTAAATATAAACCAATTTAGAATTAATATAAATTTTTGTTTTTAACACTTTTAATTTAAGAAAGGCTTGGAGGAAAGTGAAAATTGATAACTAATAAGTTCAGGAAATCATTATTAAATATACGAATCGATGTTGGAAGTATTTTCTAAGATCTTTAAAACATTTTTACAATTTGGACATAAAATCAAAACCAGAAAGAAGCAGTACTATGCGGTAGGAGAAGGTCACATTATTCGACATTACTTGTACAACTTGTTGACCTCGTAGGTCATCTAGCGTTGATTCTGCGCACACGTATGAGAAAAAAAAGGAATTTATTTCTGAAATCAAAAATATGTTATGCTCTTCTCAATAGATTTACAAGTAGAAGAGTTCTGATTGAAAACATTTAACATTTCAATATTACGTCTAATTTACTTTATTTTGACGTTCTCGTTTCTTAGAAAGTGGAAAATATGTTCAGAGGCCGATTTAAAACAATTAAAACCGCGTCGCTGAACCGCCGAAAACAGCGCCGGCTCAAATCTCGAAACACTGAATACAATTTTAAGTGGAACCAGCCATGTTTGAGCTGCGTCTCAAATATCGCGCGCGGCTCAAATTCTTTAAATTCGGCCTCAGATTTCAAAATGGTGATTTTGAGTTTATTTAACTAAGGAAGCAAGATAAGAATTAAAACTTGAGTAATGTCATAAACACACTTCTGGTATCTATCATTAGGCCAACATTCACATAGATCCAGGCTGCTATGAAAAGTTGCATACAATTTCAAAACTGGGATGACTTAACTATCAAATACTTTTTTGTAGCCATAGAAATGTGTATTTTAGAACTATAAAGCACTTGTTTTTAGATTTTGCTTTTAAATCGTAGATTTTGTGTGAGAGCCTGCAAACTTTGGATCCCTGTGCATTTAGTGTGTTACCCAGCCGAGAGAGGGGGGGCGGAGCCGCCTTGAGCCCCGCAAAATTGTCTCCAAATCTCCGTATTCGCAGATAGATGAGTATTTAGAATGACCGGGCGCTACCCCTAAACACTAGAATAGATATTATTATAGAAGTAAATCATTTAAAGAAAATATTTAATCTTTACATATTTATGCAGTGTTTTCCTGAATATCCAAAAACATTGCAAATTAAAATATGAATTATTTAAAAAAAGAAATTTTACTTTGTACCTCTATAATGTCGATGCTAAAGGATAGGGGTAGCGTCAGGTCACTTTAAATGCTCATTTGCCAATCCAGAGGCTTGGAGACTATTTTGCGGGGCTCACCCCCTCCCTTATACCCAGCCTGATGCTTTGAACTGATATGTTTGGCTCTTAAAACACGACAACTGTAATATAATACACAGAATGATAATACAAAAGGATGAGTACAATAAAAACGGGATTTATGGAATCTCCACCACGCTAACATTCCATGTCAGAGTGTTAATCCACAGGAATAAAAATTTTACAAGATTTTTCAAAGAAAAAGAAAAAGATTATCTGATGATATTTGCGGATTATGTAAAATAATTATATTTACTAAATAATAAAAATTTAATAATCAAACAGTGAAAACCAGAAAATTGTGGAATACTTTTCTTCTTTTTTTCCTTTTTTTTATATAATATTACCCTGTGCGAATGCCTTTTTTTATATAATTCAAAAATGTTTATATGGATCAAAAAGTTTACAAATAATGCGAATGGATTCAAATTGTACAAAAACGATTGGATCTGCGTTAAAGAGCTGTGATTTTACCATCGCTTTATCTATTTTTGCAACCTAGTGTCGCAGATTTTTGATATAGCAAACTATGAATTCTGTTAGATTGTTTTATATATTAATTAATTGTTGACACCATCAGGTTGCAAATATATAGGGATTAGAAACTTGGAATTTGTCACAAAAACTCAGTTTTTTGTTTATATTATATAAATTAAACTGGTTTTATTAAATCTCTTTTTTTTAGATTCTTCCTAAATTTTAATTGCATTGATCTTTTATTCGTGTACGGCAATATAGTTGTATCAAGGAGTATGGTATAGAAGGGAGATTGAATCGACCCAGCCCGCCCTACCATATCATTATACATGCTTTGCAGACGGTACTTTCTTTGAATAAGAAATATTTGTCTTATGTACAAATTCCCCGTACATGAATTCAGAATAAGTTATTGTATTCATCAAACAGGGAAAAAAATTAGGCTGAATAACGCAAACAAATACATTTTTTTGGGATGCAAAAATATTGGGAATACAAGCGTATTATTTTATATAAAAATTGGTTTTATTTAATATGGTATAGTAAAAACCACATTAAAAAAATTAAGAGACGACCATGTATTTCTGGAAGAACAAATATAATAAGCATACATATTTAATGGCGGCAATGATTGACAAGGATGCTAATGTGAAGTGATTAACATGTTAAAATGTATTTTTAGAATAATCCTGACTAGCGACAAAAATTGAAAATATTCAGAGTTTAAATCATATTCGGTTTTATACATTTACACAATTCAGCGATATGTTTGAATATTTTACAATATTCAAATATTAGTTTATAAAAAAGAAGAACGTACACTCTACAGTTATATCCAAGTATTGTAGAGGAAGAAATCCCCGAAAGAGGATTATATAATCCGCAAATCAGAAGCGTCGGATTCTGGATCGGAACCAGAGTAGACCTACTTATCTTCCTCTCTATTAATACACGTGTTATTTATCATGTATTTAAATCTAAAAGCAATAAGTGTACTTCCGAAGTATTTAAATACAATATAATTCTTTGAAATACAAGGTTATAAACTATTAAATTCAGGGCATGCACATGGCTATACAAAAAACGTCTTGTCCACTAGCCTCGAGCTAGAAATTAAGAGCAATTAACCATTTCTTTTTTTATGATTTAAACATTAAACAGGTCTCTCCGGATTCTTTTCTTCTCTCCCTACTTGACCTTCACCCTTTTCTCCTTTATAATGTTTTTGCATTTTAGAAATAGTCCAAACTTTTCAAAGAAGCCGATTCTTTACATTTCATATTTTATTATGTAAAACAAAAGTAAATTGCACGCAAGAAATCTTTTTCAATCAGAACTCCTCTAATATTCTGATAATAACAAATGTTTTTTATATTTGTGCGTAAAATCAAAACTGGAGAAGCCATGATGTCCCAAAGTCGTACCAGTGATGTTGCATGAATTTAACCTTTCCTTCTGTCTCACTCTTCACTAAAACTCAGGATTTCTTTGGTCAGAGTACTGCAGATCCCACTCATAGGGTGGTCTAGCTTCCAGTGATATATACATGATTACAATTAAATTATTTCTTATAAAATATTGTCATTGTGGACATTCGATATCTTTTATATTTTTATTTAGACAAATTACAAAGTTTTTTAACACGCGTGATATAACAAAACCCACAGAGATTCAGATTAATATTAAAAGTTGCATCAATTTCTAAGACCGGGTCGAGTTTCAAGTGTCGCACAAGGCCTTGACCTTTGATTTTATCTCATTAACTCACTTTTTAGTAGCCCTAGACATATACATTTTTAAAATATCTAATGCACTTGTTTTCAGCTTTTGTTTGTAAGAAGTATCAGGCAGAATTCTAATCAAATTTGCGTTGAGAGCTTAAAACTTTTGGTTCATAATTTCCTTTTGATCCAAAAATTCATAATATTCCATCTCCATCTAAACTTATGTCTTATGTGCTATTAGTATCAACAAAAAATATTAGACTGTGTTTTTTATTTTATAATTCTCACCTTTTCTTCGAGTCAAGCTACTTCTGATATGCATTCTATAACCCCATAACATAAAAGCAGTTTGTTTCGATTTGGTTTTTGTTTAACAAAACATTCTGAAAATTTGTAAACAAGTCACTGTCACAGGTTCATTTTAAGTCTGACACTTTTGTGACACTGCCTGAATGAGTGGTGGGGGACAATTTGTAAAATAATTGGCTTAGATCTGCACTTCTTACTACGCAAGCAGTTTACGTGCGTTTTATGCTCGTGTTTCTGTTCCCGGTTCAAGTGTCAGCTTGGAACTGACTGTGAGCGCCAATATTTGGGTTTACTCCCCCTCCTCACCCGTCCAGAGCAGGAGCAAACCGAACAGAATATGGATCCTGGGAGATTCCGACGCTTTAGTGCGTACACAAATACGCGGGTGGTATTCGTGTCTCAATGTGGGTTAATCGTTGGTTTACACCCGGTTTACTAAGCATTTGCATATTTTAATTCATGATATATTTGAGATGTTTCATGTTTATATTTTATAACTAGCTCAAGTGCCCGGCGTTGCCCGTGGAATCTAAAAAAATGGAATTTTGAAGAAAAAATTTCAGCCCATTCGGTGGCCAGAGCTGGTTGGCCAGCTTAAGCTATCATATATACAATTTACCATGAGAGAAAAGCTTTATTAATATTATATTGATAAACTAATAGATCCATGGAGCACTTTCAAAACTAGCTATAAGGGAACTCTAGCTTTGCCTAGAGGCCTGGATACAAAGTTTTCTTTATAAGAGTGAACCTATTCAACTAGGAACGTTTAAACTGGCATACTAAGAACATTTCCGTGGTGCGTCCGAGTCAAAATTTGAGACAAATCGGTCAAGTGGTCAATTACTACCTTATATATAAAGAGAGAGATACTAAGCATATTTTGACAATTGAGGTTCATGTTCACGACTAAATTAATCGAATTTAGACAAATTGCTTTATTCATGGATTTGACTAAACACTAAATATGTTTAACATTTCAGATACAAGTTCCTAAATCACGTACGCTTGTTTGAGCTAAGTGAGCGCAGAGGCCGAGTTTAAGAATTTGAGCAACGTCTCTAATTTGAGACGCGGCTCAAACATGGTTGGTTCCAATTGAAATTGTATTCAGTGTTTTGAGATTTCAGACGGCGCTCAATTGGAACCGGTTTTTGGCGGTTCAGCGACGCGGTTTAAATTTTTTTAATTTGGCCTCAGTTAATGTTCTTAGAAAGTTAGAATAAATGAAGTTATTTAATATATCTCTTTGTTCGCATCCTATTAAAAACGTCTACCATTTTAAATCGGGGTTTGAATGGTTTAGCAGTTGGTCTTATGATTTCATTCGAACATATTAATCTCATAGCTTCATAATTTAAAACTACTTTACAGAGAAGTTAAGGGAATTTTGATGAACCAAGGGATTCCCAAGACCAATTTTGCCTACAAAACATCCAGCGAGTAGCGAGTCGAGGGAACCCGTTATAAACCATTATAAAACAATCATAAATAATTTATCGTAAAATTCCAGTTTGAATTCAATCACTTGATCAAATATCCTCAGTTTCAGGAATGAATATTTTCAAAATTAACACTCGGATCATATAAAATAAAAGATATTATGAAATATCAACTGTATTCGTATGCATCGAATTCTACATTTATAGGTTGTAATATCAGAGGTTCCTATGTAAGAATGTTGATTTGTGGCTAGTTTTGAAATTGTACCCGGCGCACATATAACTCCATCCCACTCAATTTGTATAGATTTATATAGTTTTAAATGTATATATCGTATCATCGTATGTAAGACGAATGTTAAAATACCAATTTTTTGAGATTATTTTTTACCTCGTTTCAAAGTCCCTTTCTCTTATAGTTCCGAGACTTTTAAATGTTGGCGTGTTTAATGGCTTAACAAGTTAATTGTTTAGCTTTGGGCCAGAATCTTATTGTAGAGAAAATACAGTCATCGTCGTATTTATCAATACAATGAACACAGGTTTCGCTTTCAATTTTTGATTTCTAAACAAGCTTTACAAACACATAACCATGGAAACAAAGATAAGCTGTCAAATAACAGCTTTTCCTTATTTCTTTTTAAACTTTGAAAACACTTGTTAGAAATCCAAGCTTAGATAGAAACGTTATCTTGATATAAACGCCGACCAGAGTCCGAATTTAATGAAATTGGGCCGCGTCTCAAATCCACCATAAAATGGTTTCAATTGAGCGCCGGCTGAAATCTGGAAACATTTAATATAATTTTAAGTGGAACCACCCATATTTGAGCCGCGTCTTAAATTTTAGCCGCAGTTCAAAATCATTAAATATGGCCTCATTGTATCTAAGTATTTAATAACCATGAACCTGTGAAGGAAATACATTTTTTTATATTTTCATCTCGTTGTTTACAGATTAAATTCTAAAGATTCAACACACTACTCTTAAATTTTAAAATCGTGATTTTTACACAATTTCATCTTTTAATATTAGAAGTTTATCAAAATATCAGATCCGTGAAGCATGGCTTCAAGCATTAATAAAAAACATCATAATTTAAGAATAATGCTACATTTTAAAACATAATACAAGATTCAGATCAGTATTGACTCGAAGTAATGAAACATGCTCTCTTGTACGACATTTCATACAGTAGTCGGCGTTCATATCAATACAATGAAGACGAATTTTCTATTCAAACATGCTTTCTTGTACTACATTATATGCAGTAGTTGGCGTTCATATTAATACAATGAAGATGACTTTTCTATTTAAACATGCTTTCTTGTACTACATCTCATGTAGTAGCTGGCGTTTATATCAATAAAATGAAGGAGACTTTTCTATTTAAACATGCTTTCTTGTACTACATTTCATACAGTAGTTGGCGTTTATATCAATACAATGAAGACGACTTTTCTATTTAAACATGATTTCTTGTACTACATTTCATTTTGTGATCGGCGGTATTGCAGGTTTTCAAATATTTTCTCCTTAAACACTTAATTTTGTGTGTTTTTCTTGTAGTTCATAAATAAATAATTACTTACTTACTTACAACATTTTCTTTGATTGAATAGTGGAAGAATAAGCTTGCATTTTTTGTATACTATGTAAGAATACACATTATACAGGGTGGAACCACCTCTGTAACCAATTTTATCCCATTGAGTAGATTTAAAACCATGAGCCGAGTCATTATGCACGCTGAATCAGGGTCAAACAAGTACAAGGATATTTCGTAAGTTAGTGAAAAAGTTGGGAATGACGATGAACTCAAAATGATACGTTCAGAGTTATGTACATTGAGAAACTTTAATTGTTTCCTTAATACCTACCTAATATACTCACTTACCTACCTTCCCACCTACCTACCTACCTGCCTACCTACCTACCCACCTTAGTTACTTTTTTCTCCTAACTTCCATCCCACTTGTCTAACTATTTAACTACCTAGCTAACTATCTAATTACCTAATTATACCTAATTTGTTACTTACCTAACTACCTAACTACCTAACTACCTAACTACCTAACTACCTAACTACCTAACCACATAACTACCCTAACTACCTAACTACCTAACTACCTAACTACCTAACTACCTAACTACCTACTACCTAAATACCTAACTACCTAACTACCTAACTACCTGACTACCTAACTACCTAACTACCTAAATACCTAAATACCTAACTACCTAACTACCTAACTACCTAACTACCTAACTACCTAAATACCTAATTCTCTAACTACCTAACTACCAAACTACCTAACTACCTAACTAACTACTACCTAACTACCTAATTATTCTAACTACCTAACTACCAAACTACCTAACTACTTAACTACTTATAACTACCTAACTACCTAACTACCTAACTACCTAACTGTTTAAATAACTACCTAACTACCTAATCACCTATGTTGTTTGTAAACAATATTTAATTTGAATCTGTTTTTCTTCAAGCTTTTCTTTATATGTAGATCTATTTTTTTATCAGTTAATTGTAGTTTTTCTTTATCTATCTATCTATGATATAACATGGATATATTTGTAAATATGAATGAATTATCTATCTATATATATATTTGTCCCATCTATCTATCTATCTATCTATTGAACTATAATCTCAACAATTGTATTTAATAACTGTAATCAGACCTTTAACTAGTCCCGACCTATAGTAAATAAGGGGGGGATATATACGTACTATCAAAGAAGGAACGAGAGGGAGGGGGTAAAGGGGGTGTTAAGGCCATAAACTTAGGACATGCCACATAGATTCAGCCTGCTTATAAACAGTCTCATCAATTTTTAAGACAGGGTTGACTTTGAAGTGTCGCAACGCCCTAAACTTAGATTTTACCGCTCTAACTCACTTATGCTTTTCTGTAGCCCTTTACATGTAAATTTTAGCACTATAAAGTACTTGTTGTTAGCTTTGGTTTTTTAGAAGTAATTAGCAAAATTCTCAACAGTTTAAGCTTGAGAGCGTGAGACCATTAAATCGCAGTGATGCAGGTATCGATGTAACCAAGTATCGGAAAGGCAGTTTTATAGATACCAATATTTGTGTTACTAGGCTTTTAGGGCGAAGCGCCCATCTTCTTTTTCAACATTTAATTGTGGCTTTATTTGTGAGCATCTTCTCTTTGTACAGTATAAAAAAATTATTTTTTTCTAAATTTGCGGATTTCATAATATTTTTTCGAGCATTTTTAAAATTTTACAAAATTAAATAATTTAAGATAAAAATATTTTAAGATTACATATTCATTTGACCCCTAGAAGTATGAGTCCGCGGACTGTACAATTCTTGGTAATTTTGCGTACATAAGCTATCTATGTTTATTTATTTATCTTTGTTCTTTACAATCTCTTAATGTTTTCTGATTTACTAAAAGAATTAAAATCTACGCAAACACCCCAAAAAGGAAACTTGGGAGTTTCGTTCACCAATAGTGTTTTAAATTTCCGGCTTTGTTTTGTAGTACAGTGCACAAAAAAACAAGTACATAATGCACACGTACACCAATCTTAAGCCTGTGTATATTACAGCTAGATGTAAAGCAATTAAAAGTAAAATATATATACCTTACTGTAGTGTGAAAATGTCTGAAATAAAATAAAATAAATTTTTAGAACGTTTGAAACAATCATTAAAGTTGTTTTAGTTGTTTTTGCATTGTAATGCAAAATTTAAATTTTTTCATTTACTTCTTAAGTAAAGCTAAAAACAAGTGCTTTTAAGGCTTAAAATGA